GGGGAAAATCCAAGTATGTAACTGCTGACCGGGAAGAACACATTTCTGCCCCCTCCTGTTGGACGAGAGCTGACGTAAGCACCCTCCCCCAGGTGGTGGCCTGGTGTAGCTTCTGTGAGCCAAGTGGACCTTCAGCAGCAGGCCCCGCCGGGTCGGACATGAGCAGCGGGCCAACCCGCAAAGGCCACGTGCTGCCTGTGTTCTTGCCGCCATGGTCATTTCGTTCGCGGAGCATCCTGCTGCCCTCCTGCGGGGGCCATTCGCGAGCCTCTCTCCCAAGCCCTCCGACTGTCCGTCCAAGTCAGCTTGCCCAGCCCACCCGCCAGCCCTGCTCAGAAATCAGTACAGATCTGCAGACCGTGACGCGATCGACTCGAAATTTTGCCCATTAGAGGATTTTCTTTCTTGACTGCCTCCCAGGACCATCTCTCGGAAGGGCATTATTTATTTTTAAATAAAGAGGCACTTATTAATCACCCGCATTTAAGGAAAGGGCTGCCGATTCTCTAGATTCGGAAGTGAACACCTTAATTACAAAATGCCACGTTTAAACCCTCTGCTTGGAAGCAGGCCTATGTCTCAGGCTTGGCTTCCTCTCCTTAACGAAATCTCTACTTTCTTGGCTACAAAAACAGACAAAACAAACAAACAAATCCAAACTTCTGTTTTCACAACTTTTATAACATTTTTTATTGTGAAACCACAACTGCTTTTTAAGTGTCGGTTCAGCCATGGACTTGTGCAACCATCTCTAGAACTTTCCTCGGCCGGGCCCTTTTGCTGCAATAACGACCCTTCGTACGTGCCAAGTGCCATGTAAGGGCTTTACAGATTAAGTTGATGAGTTTTCAAAACCATGTGTGAGGCCAGATAGTTTTATTTTCTCTCTGTTAGAGATGAGGAAACTGAGGTACAGCTAGGGCACCAATTCATGCAGCTAGGAACTGGTAGAACCAGAATGCAAGCCCAGGCAGTCTGGTTCTAGAATTCTTGCTGTAACTCTTAATAATGGGACACTCCTGGCTAGCGACGGTGTGTGGCGGAAAGCCAGCCCCCTATAACACAAGACGGAATGCTTCTGTCCCGAAGCCATGGGAATGGAATGAGGAAGATGACACCGGTCCACAAGACAGGGCAGGCCAGGGCACTGTGTGGCTTCTTTCTGCCGTCAGGGTGTTCTCAGCCTCTACCCAGCTCTCCTTGAGGTTGAGAAGCCTTGGGGCGTGTACGACCCTGGGCCTACTAGATGATGGCCTTGGGTCTCAAAGTCACTTGGGGTCCCATGTTTGGTTTCTTTGGGGACCCAGCAGCTCACAAGAGGCTCTCTACCAAGAGAAGAACTGCTACTTGCCGAAGCAGGCTTGGCCTCGACACCCCTTCGGGCCACCCCAAGAGACTCTCCTGGGCCTTGCTCGTCGCAGCCTCCTGGGTCAAGCACCACTGGACCCCCGAGCCATGAGACCCGGGGGCAGGTGGGCTTGAACCGCTGCTCAGAGCAGCCCTAGCGCCTGTCCCTGCTTCTCTGAGACCCACTCCCAGACGCTGCCTCTGCCCCTCAGACCTCAACGTCAAGCGCAGCCCTGCTGACGCCGGACCCTGGCGCCTCCGCGGCACTGCTGCCACTCCCGCTCTAGCCTCTCCCTCATCAAACAGAGCCCGCTCCCCACCGTCCCCACTCCCTCGTGTCAGAGTCCTCCTTGGGCACACCTGGCTGTCCAAGACCGAGTCACATGCTTGCTCTTATCTGCAAAAGGACCTGGGAGAGTGAGCGTGTGACCTCTTTAATTCCATAATGGGCAGGCGCCGTCCCCCAAGAAACATAAAGAGGGCTATGTGTGTTGGCCGGCCCCAAACGACAAAACACAAAACAACCTGTCTCCAGGAGTGGCTGTTAAGGTTATGTGACTTAGGACATCCGAGCATAGGGGTCACAGGTGTGGAGTCTGAAGCTAACCACCTGGATTCGAATCCCGGGCTCTGCGACTCACTCACTGCATGACTCTGCGCCAGTTACTTCCCTTTTGTATGCTGCAACTTCCTTACCTATAAAATGGGCACACTAAGAGTACCTGCTTCCCGATCTCGTCTGATCTCGGAAGCTAAGCAGGGTCGGGCCTGGTTAGTACTTGGAAGGGAGACCACCTAGAATACCAGGTGCTATAGGTGTTTTTTTTAAAAAAAAAAAGAGTACCTACTTCACAGGCTTGTAAGGATTAAAGCAGAGCATGTAAAGAGCTTAGGGTAAAGAGCACAGAGTAAGCTTTTATGTGAGGGTGTGCGGTTCGCTGATGCTCAAAGTGCTTAGACAGCACCTAGGACACATGGCACCTTTCCCTAGTGAAACCTGCTGCCATAATCATTTTCCCTGCTTCTTGCCAACGTGGCCAGGTACTTCTGTGGACCGCATCCCAGAAGGGGGATTCCTGGGTAAAACAGTATGCACAGGTTAAGCTCGGGTAGGTATCGACAAATTAAGTTGTTAATAAGGCCCCAGTTGACACCCACCAATCCCGAACGAGCGTGCAATACTGGATTTTCATCTTTAAAATTTTTGCTCATCTTATAGGAGACAGGGTTATTATATTTGTTCACTATTTCCATTTTTACTTTTATTTATTTATTAAATTTCTTCATTAGTTTATTACTTGGAAAACCACCCAGCTTAAGAATATTGGAAAGGCTTATCACTAATCCAGCTTTTTCTACTAACGATGTACGTATAAAGGTAAGAAGTCTTCCCCAATTAATTTACAATTCAGAGTAATTCTCACGGAATCTCACTATTTCCATTTTTAAATTAGGCAGGTACTTCAAGCCTACTATAAAAAATTTTAAACTACACAATTGAAACATACTACAAAGAATAAAAATTGCATACTATTAATCCAGGTCCGCAGAGGTGACGGCCGTATTTCCATTTGGTGCATTTGGCATGATAAAAGAAGCTTTACAAATTCTCTACAAATTCTCTTCTATAAAC